GAGTTCATTCTGAAATTATAAATATTCACTCTTAGGGACCGATACCAGCACTCACATAATTTAAAATTGTAAGGTATTTGTCAGTTGGTAATAAATATCTTATGTATGATCACAAATTTGTTTGAATATTAAAATCTTAATTTGAAGCCAAAATAAATTATCTGTATGACCTACTACAGCCATTAATATGTAAAATATTATTAATGTAAAAGAATTTGTTAAAAAAAGTACAGTGAAAGTATCATAGTTCACACAAACACATAAATACTAGAATCACATATTTAGTACTCCTCTCTATCTTATTATTTAAAAAGATATAATATGTAAAACAAAAAATCGAAAATGTATTACCTGCACGCTGTCAATGAATCCAGTTGTTCTTGCGACATCCACTAAAGTTTGTGTTGATGACTTTGCACTGGTACAAGGTTCCACTACAATATTTTCAATTTCAGACAGTGGCACTCTTAACTTTGGCTGTGCAGTTGCTTCACTGGACTGTTCTATATTCTGAAATTAATCATTACAATAAATGTATTACTTTATTTCACATGGAAACTATTAAAGTGTCTAATGTAAGACTTATCCTAAATATTATAACTCCTATAATATAAATATTTTAAGCAGCTGAACGGATTGTTATGCAATTACGGAAAATAGTTTTAGGCATGCAGATTTTAAAATGTATATTTTGAACTTGGCATAGAAAATTATATCGCACCTCCACTCAAATAGCATCATAATTCCAAAATACAAATTGTCGAGAAAAATGTGTTTAAAAATTGCTCGAACTTTATTTTTCACATTTTGGGGCATAACTCAGAAACTATGAAAATTATCGTAATAATGATCATATTAAATTTTAATGGTTTTAAATGCTCTACAAAATGGAGTATTTGGTATCCTCAATAGATGAAAAATAAATTGTAAATTTGTAATTGTGACACTATACTATAGATAAAAGAAAGAATATTTTAATATATATTATTTATATGTCATTTTAACAAACAAAAACATTAACAAACAAAACAAAAACTTTTATTCTGAATTACTCATTGGTACGAAAATCAGGTCTTCTGAACCTAACGAAACAATAAAAAAAGTTTTGATATTTTTGAGTTATGACACTATTTGAGCAGAGGTATATGTAAATTTTATAGACCAATCTGTAAGTATATTATACCTGGTGAAAGATATTTTCCTTTTCATTGAGTAGTTCTTCCACTACAGTTGACTCAGGAACAGCAAATTTACTCAATTTTTGTCTTTCATTGTCATAAAATTGAGTTGAATTAAAGTGTCTTCCACACAACACTTTATTTTTAGTATAGAGTGAACGTAATAATTCTACTGAAGTCCAATCTTCATTTGGCCAACAATATTTAGCCCAAACATGAGCCCTGAAATTTTTTTAATTTAAGTAAATTAGTCAAATCTCTCATAAATTGATGTACTGACAAAATTAAAGGTATGTATTGAAAGGCCACTGACATGTATTTATGTATGTATTTAGAATGTCTTGCAAGTACACCGCCTAATCTTTTTATATAAATACTCTACACCCTAAGGTTGCCTGGAAGAGATCGCTTATAACGATAAGGCCGCCTTCTGTGTATCATCGTTTTATTTCTTCTTTTGTGTTGTACAATAAAGTATGTATCTATCTATCTATGCAAAATGGTATGTACTTAACAACAATACATTCATTTGTCGAATTAATGTACCAGCACAAGGTGCTTCAATATAGTATTTTAAACGATAATCGTATCAGGGCTCAACAAGCAATATCTCATAGTCCACTAACCTGGTAAAATTAGTAGTTCCTGGATTCGGAAACCTATGATAGGTCACCGTCATATCTTCAGCACGTGTTCTACCGCACTTGGCACATTTCCTATGGTTATTTTCAGACATACTTATAAACAAAGAACACACAAATCGAATAAAAACAGAAAACCTAACCTAACAAAGAAAACGTCCTTTCGTAAAAAAGCGCAAAACGTCCTTTCGTAAATAAATGTGATAGTGCACGATAGTCGCTAAACAATATGTACAAAACACAAAATTCACTCCAAGAACATAAACGCATATGCAGTTGAAATTACTAATAAATGCGGAGAGCTAATGTCACTCGATCAACACAATTACAGTAATGAATAAAATGGCCACTTGTTTGTTTCCTTGCTAAAACCGTCAGTGTGACCAGTATGCAAGCTTACCGGTTATTTATTTTTTTCTATGGTATACATTAGCAATGCACACATGCATAAGTGAGCATGTGTGTAAAGTCGAAAACTCGTCGTAGAAGTTGAGGGACCCTGACCTGGATGCAACCGCTCGGAAGCGATGCCACAGGCGGAATGTGTTAAGGAATAGCATGTCTTTTAACTTATATATAGCACATAATTCGTAGATGTTTTATAGCACACTGATACTAGGGTAGAGATTCAAAAGAAAAATAAGACGAACAACATTTTTTTTAAATACTTATTGGCATAAATCACTAACTATCAGACTAACGAGATAGACTTTAGTAACAAAAATAATTAAAAATATAATAAAGATATTAATAGTTACTTTGCAACCATCCGCTCAATTAAATACAATGATGTGTCTTACCTAGATTGAAGAGCACCTCCCGCCCTCCCTCAATTGCGTGCACTAATCCCGTCACCACTAATCCCAGCACCACTACTTCTTGCTTCAGTCAGTCTAGAGTGTCATCAATTAAGGCGCTACGAAGGTAGCTGCATGTCTACATGAGTCGGTGTGAGATTATATGTTTAAGTAAATATTACTCACCACCGCAACAAGTATGTGTTCACAGGATTATTATCATTAAAATCACCAATACAACCCTCTAAGTTCATATAACTCCTTTGAATGAGTTTTTCTGGAATTATACGAACTTAGACCTGAGTAAAATAGCAGCTTGATGCTGCTGTGTTCCGCATGGTGAGTGTTGAGATCCGGAGATCCCTTTTACTGTAAACGAGGTATTCCATCTTAGTCCTCAAGATGAATATTCCATCATAATCGACGACATAATATGTAGATGTCAATAGGCCACAGTATTCACATACCATCAGGCGGTCTGTGCGCTCGTTTGTTTGTTACTCTTATTCTATAGAAAAATATTCAGAACAGAAAAACATATTTAGCAACAAACTTTCACATTTTAGGTTCGTTAGTATATTGAACCAATTGTTAGGAACCACGGACTGAGCATTATTTATATACATGCCGCCCGCATATTTTAGATTCGTGGTCGTCAATTTATATACTGTAAATAAATTGGACATAAGCCGTCGGCCTATGCATGGATAATCTGCCATAATCGCCACGCTTGGCATTGGCAGACGGATTATTAATTGAACCTACGGACACAGAATAAATAATTGCTACGGACATAAGGCGTAAGCATTAGATTTCGTATACGATTAGATATAGGTATACGAATGCTTACTACTATGTAAGCGCGAGCACTCAATGAACTATTCGGAAGTTTACGCCCTGGTCAATATCATTAATAAATTATGTGCACTTTAAAAAATATTTAAGCTGATCATGGAATAAAAGAGCATATAAAAAAATACAATACTCCTAGAACATTTAAATGATTGATCAATCCAAGTTAGAGGATAATATTTTAATTAAAATGCTGAATGAGAATCAAGTTAAATTCTTACCTTAGTTATCATTAAAACAAAGTTACTGATACGCAATTTAGGTTCATTGAATAGGTTAATTTAGCTATCAGTCAACTTTCTAATTTACACAACGATAACGAAACTTGACAAACCGGTTGTTTTTCAATCCAAACAAATAGATAATTGTGAATGAATGAGTTAGAACTAGTTTTTGTATTCGCAATGATAAATTGAATAAATGTTGTGGTAATTTTAGGTCTACGTGACGAAAGCTTATATAAAAGAGGACATGAGAAATGAGATAAAACCCGTGTTTTATATATTTTAGTTATTTTAATAAGCAAATAATAAAGTACGTAAAAGTTACATCCTGAGTGCTCGTACGTTCCACTGCAAGGGCACAGATTTCCTCCCATTTCTGAGTTAGTGAGTTATGGAACAATTAGCTCACCGCGCTACTTCAGAACGTGTTGGCGGACTTCACACCTTATCGAAGTATTTTGTTTCTCCGACATGTAGAGTAAACTTTGTAAATCAGCACTTAAAATTGCAATTAACAAACAAGCTGGTCGAATTGGGTCGCTTGCGTACTGTGAAATTTACGGCGTGCGTTTATCCTCTGAGCTACAAGGCTATATCATATTGATAAAGAAACAATTATATTATAACTTACTTCATAATCTCGACATCGTAAATAAAAAATGTATTCTAAGTTTACTCTAATCTGTACAACTTCACTCACTAATGTGTTCTGGTTCGATATAAGATAGTCATTATTTAACAGGTTCTGATTTCTGAGACTTTTTAACTTAGTCCTTCGTATACGTGGTAGGGCCACGCTGAAGCTGCGATAGTACGTACGATATGATATAATATAGTGGTTTTAGCGGTAATGGGTTGGCTCGACCGGGGAAAAATGACCACGCTCTCACGGAATACCAGCGTAAAATAACAGCCCAATGCTGTTGTGTTCCGTATGGTAAGTGTAGAGTCCTCAGGGGTGATCTGCATTTTGATTCTTCATTATTTAAGTTGATTGCCAATGTTCATGAACTGCAGTAGCCACTTACGTCAGATCGTCTGTTAACGCGCTTGTCCGTCCTATAGTCAAATAAAATAACCACTGTAGGGCTACCGGACTACCGACAGGGACGTTTAGAATAGAAATAGGGTATACCGGTACAACTGATTCAACGCCTCGAACGGTAATGTCACGATTATCGATTGCAACACTTCATTAAATAAGCCCACGCCGTCTTTATATACTAATTATAATTATACACACTTAAATAAGCGTTTATACTGATTTTCTTCGTAGGGTTCGATACATAATTGTTATTGTCATTGCAGGTGTCCGATCAAACGAAGCGCTGGTCGGCTGCGGTGGTGTGCCGCGACGACAGCTCTCGCGTCACGCAGAAAGTGCATCCGCTGCCTGACGCCGGCCAGGAGCGCTACGCGCACGGACAACACTTTCAACGTCAATCCAATCGACTGTCCATGCAGTTCTCGGGACCTGGGTGGGTACAGTTCAACACAGACCAGACAGTGTGTTTTCTGTTCTATGGAACATACATTTTCCTGTTCTGCGAAACATACCATTTACCGTAGTTAATGATATTATTGGTTCAGGGCTTAAATAAGAGTTTCTCATAAACTTTTAACATAAATCAGTGCTATTAAAACTTTATAATATACATTTAGGAAACAGAAAGTAGCCTGCTGCAATAAATTAAATTACATAACCCTTTCTTAAAAATAATTTGTTTTGTAGTGCGGCGTCTATGGTATATCTATATATTTATGGTTGTAGTTTTTGTAATACTACTAATTTGATTACAGAAGTGGTGTTTGGTTAGATGCGGCTGAACGAGTACAAATATACGGCAGCAAAAGTCTTCCTCGGGATGCTAGAAGGGAACCTCTAGGACAGGATACCCCTGAAGATACCCACCAAAGTCACAGGTAAAGTGACTTTGGTTACATTAAAATTTTAAAATTAAAACATCTTTATAGCTAATTTTCATAATTTGAATTGGAAATGTTGTAGACAATAAAACACACAGTCCGTAACTAAACTTAATTCCTAAAAACATATCTAGATTAAGGTTTATTGAATTTAATGAGACCAAAATTCCTAATTTTGTAAAGGTGGGGGGGGGGATAAATCACAATCATCTTAATCTAAATGACTAATGATAACTTTAACTCCTAATCTTAAAAGTCTCAAATATTTAAAATAAGGACAAATAATTATCCTAAGTATCTAAAGAAATATTGCCGCTAAAAGGAACACATGATTTCATTAAATTCCGACTCGCACTTGACGGTTTTTTCTTTTTTCAATAGTATCCTGCACACCGAATTTCATTAAAGACAGGTTAATAGTGCCAGAGTGTTTGCAGAAGCACGACTGCACTCTATTCGCTCACTCTCATATTCCGATGGGTTGTTAAACCGACATGACCAGAAGGAAATCAGGTGCAGGACCAACGGCTTTATATGCTTTCCGTGACATGGGGGTTAAATACCGTCGATACTTACTGACTCCGAGCTGCTATTGAGAATTTCTTGACAGAAAAACCCAATAAGTGATTTTGACCTGACCCGGGATTCGAACCGAGGATCTCAAGATCATCAGTCGCGTTTACGACCACTAGACCAACAAGGCAGTTTTGGAGGGTTATTTTTCGAGGACTATTTTGATTTTTTTCTTTAAAAATTTACAACTTTCCTTAGTACTCTCTCATGAAGCGTGGAAGAGGTCTTACATACATAATTTATTTTTATAATACTAGTTTTATTTTTATCATTTTTTCCTTTTTTTTAGAGTTGAGGATATGCTCCGATGGGTATCGGGAGTCAATAATGTCACAAGCGTGCCTTCGGTACAAGAACGTCCGTTAGATCTTCTCGATGAAGGTACCTAATTGATAGCCACTAGGCTTTAATAATATTTTGAAATGAATTGTTTGCATTTCATTCATTCATTCATTGCAACCTATTAAAAGTCCACAGCTGAATAGGCCTTAGGCATAGATTGCTTCATGGGTTTGACACTTGCCATATTAGCCACGCTTGTCAACCCGCCTCTTCTTATTATTTTGCAGGAAGATGCTGCTGCCCATCCCCATTTTCATTTCCTTCTGTTGCCTCTTACGACACACACGAGGATGGTATGAGGTAGTTGATTCTCTGATTGCATTTTATGTTATTTTTTATGGAATATTAAATTACTACGCAATCTTAATAAATTTGTACAAGTAAATATTATTTGGGAACATAGATTAATTCTTAATATATAAAATTAAATATTTTATTACTCACAATCATCGGTATATCGAAGTGCTGAAGTTAAACAATGACTATTCGAGTACGGAATCAGAGTACAAAACCTATCCATCTGCAGAAAGGTGTAAGACAGGGTGACGTTATATCCCTGAAATTGTACACCGCTTCATTAGAAGATGTTTTCAAGATACTGAATTTTAAAGGCTAAGGTATTAACATCAATAGCAAGTAAATCATTCACCTTCGATTTGCCGACGATGTAGTCCTTATGGCAGAAACGCTGGAGGACCTAAGCACTATGCTCAATGACTTCAATAGTTGATCCCAACGGATAGGTCTCAAGATGAAGATGGACAAAACAAAGATTATGTGTAACGTCCATGTCACACCTATACCGTTGTTGTTGGTAGTACTAAGCTTGAAGTAGTTGACGATTGTGTTTACTTAGGACAAATAGTCCGACTAGGTAAGTCCAACTTTGACAGAGAAGTCAAATCGATGGATTCAACTCTGCTGGGCAGCGTTCGCGAAATACTACAACTTCTCCTCAGGTATACCTCAAAACTTGGAAACGAGATTGTACTTTACTTGTGATTTGTCCTTTACTACTAGCCGTATGAGGAAGCTCAAGATCGCTCAGCGAGCTACAGAGAGGGCTATGGTCAGATTTTCTCTGCGTGATAAATTTAGAAATGAGGATATCCATAGTAGAACCAGCGTGACCAACATAGCCCAACGGATTAGTAAGCTGAAGTGGTAATGGGCCGGCCATATAGCTTGAATAACCGATAACCGATGGGGAAAAAGGTTCTCAACGCTCGTAACATGTAGAGCGACCCACCACTGGATGGAGGGACGACCTGGTAAGACATGCAGGAAGCTGATGGATGTGGGTGGCTCAGGACCGTGCTTTGTGGCATACCTTAGGGAAGGCCTATGTTCAGCAGTGGACTTGTGAAGGGCTGTAACGATGATGATTTTTTTTTTAAATTGTAGTGACTAAAGATCATATAGCCCACCTAATGGTAAATGGCTACTGCCGCTCATGGGCATCTGCAAACAACTTCAAACAAAGAATGCCTTACAGTCTATAAGTATACTGGTACTGGTATAAGTGTATTTAGATTGATGATATTGATAATGCATAATATTGTTTGTTTTTCAGTAGGCAGCAGCGAGCGTGCAATATCAGGACTAGAAGTACCAGTGAGTCCAAGTAGTAAGCCAGCAAGTGGCGCGACGCAAACCGTGGCCGTGACCTTAGTGAAGGGAGAAAAAGGCCTCGGATTCACCATTACTACGAGAGACAACCCTACCGGTGGACACTGTCCAATCTACATAAAAAATATTTTGCCCAAGGTAAATTCAAGCATTTTGCCGAAGCTTAACAGTACAAGTAGCTAGTTACGTGCGCTTTTTATTTTTTTTTATTTACCCTTGATTAAATAAATTGCGCATTCTGGCAAGAGCCCTAACTGGACACTGTTGTCTTAAAAAGCACATGTCCATGCTGGGACTAAGCAACTCAGGGATGTGTCGGTTCTGTTCCATAACGGAAGAAACGCCTCTACACATCCTAAATGATTGCAGACCCTTAATGCGCAAATGTAACTCATCTGGGAAACTATGTACTCCGCCCAGAAGAAGTGAAATTGCTCACGGCTAAGCAACTCCTTCTATTCATTGAAGACATAGGGCTTAGCCGTCAACTATAGCCATAGCAATAATCACAATAGATCTTATAGGTCGCAGTGATACTGGTCTCTTTCTCTAGACCTGCATAGCTGCTCGCATATAAAAAAATATACCCTTGATTGCAATCACCTTCAGCGAAGGGTTACAATTGACAGACTTTTTTTATATAGGATAGTTTGACAAACGAGCACACAGTCCACCTGATGGTAAGTGGTTACTGCAGCCCATATACATCTACATTTATCCTCGATTACGAATCAAAATGCAGATGCGTTGTCACCTGTAAGGACTAAGATGGAATTGCCTCGTTTCCAGTAAAAAGGGTCTCCGGTTCTCTATACTAACAATACGAAACACAGCAGCATTAAGCTACTTACGCTGGTATTCTGTGAGAGCGTGGTCCTTCCCCGGTCGAGTTGACCCATTTGTGCTACAACTATACTACTGATATAACTACAGCATGGCTCTACTAAAACTTATGCTTTGTGGCATTTGGTACCAGTTACATGCATTAAATGAAAAAAAAATGCCAGGTGCGTATTTGGAGAGTCAATAATGCTTCAAACTTTAATATAATAAATATAGCAGTTGTTGTTAAATAATTTTATAAAATCTTTATTCTGATGTAGTAATGATTTCATAGTATGCAATTTTGATTTTAGTTTAAAAAATTAATTACAAATCATATATTTCTAGGGAGCAGCAGTAACAGATGGACGTCTGAGAGCTGGCGATAGATTAGTGTCCGTTAACAACGTCTCGGTATCAGGCCTTACGCAGCAACAAGTAGTCACGTTGCTACGAAATACGCCCACCGACTCCACTGTGGATATTGTGGTTGAAAGGAGCGTGCCAAACAGGACACAGGTACGAGTTTAAAAATATACAAATTTTAGAGTGTAAAATGATGTACTTACACATCTCTACATAATAAATAACGGTAAATAAAGATACTATGTTTAATAAAATAACTATCTATTCCAGAGGGTAGAGCCTCAACAGAGTCCAAACAAATATGCAGAAAAAGCTATAGGATCTACGAACAATGTAAATACAAAATCGGTTGATGTTAACAACCAGCCCGAGAATGGCCGTGTGTCGAGCATGGTTAATGCCATCAACTATAATCAAAGCAATAATGGTTCTACGAGGGGGCGGATACCAAAAAGCTCTTCCAAAGATGACCTTCTAAATAAAGACCAGGATTTAGACTCGCCTGTACAAAAGGCTTTAAATTCGTCTTCCAATTCTGTGAGTAATATAATATTATGATAATTATTATATTAAAACAGAATTTTTATATACTTATAAAATCGCTAGTTTTCTCATGAATAAAATGTAAAGTTATAAAAAACTCTTTTCATTTAAACATAACAAATTTTAGATACCAGGACTCCGTAATCGTCTAATACTTCAACTAGACGTTCCTGTTCACGATTCTGAGAAAGCTGGGCTTGGTATCAGCGTGAAAGGGAAAGTCACAGTGGGCTCAGATCCTCAGGATTTAGGAATATTTATCAAGTCTGTATTGCACGGCGGCGCAGCATCACGAGATGGAAGGTAAGTTTATTTATTTACCACAATTTCGGTTAGTTACACAGAAATCGTAATAATAAGACAATAGAAGTCGCATAGACGCGTGACCTTGTCGCCGCTATGATGTGTTGACGAATATCATTCACCATTTTGTGATTTAGTTGCGCGGGGAATGTCGTACGTGAATTTATGTTATTATAATGGTGAACTGCAGCATAATTAATTTTAAAAACTCATCAAGGAGGCATAACATTTCATCGGTAACTTGATTATTTACTAATTATCATTGTTTTTACTAATTTACATTTAGATGAATACTTTACTATAATATTTATCTTTGTAAACTCATTTATTACTTTTCGTACTGTGCAATTACCATTGCTGCTTTTGTTCTACCGTAATATGCACGCACGATATTTACCTTTGTAAACTTTCATTTATTACTTTTTGTATTTACAATTACAATTGCTGCTTTTGTTCTACCGCAATACGCGACGCACGCGACGTTGACAAACTCGCCAAGCAATGTAATATGGAACATTAGATATCATTGTGCATTGCGTGTTTATAATACGGTAAGATGTGGCGACATCGGCTTGGGAAGTAATCGAGTGCTAATTCATTTCTATTGTCTTATTATTACTGTTTCTGTGATTAATTAACTTTATGCGTATGCAAAAATGTTCTAATTTGTAACCATTGAGGTCTATGTACTACGTATTAGAAAAGCTATTCAAAACAAAAAATTTGCGCTACTTTCTGTATTCGCGCATGCGCAGGACACAGCAGGGTCGCGTGGGGGATGTCCTACACTTCGCCTGCCGGTACGAGGCTGCCATTCGAGAACCTTTCTTCTCCATCGGTTATCGGTTCTTCAAATTATACGGCCGGCCCATTGCCACTTCAGCTTACTAATCCGTTGGTTATATCCTTATTCCTAAATTTATTAGGCGGAGAAACCCCGAGCATAGCCCTCTCCATAGCTCGCTGAGCGACTTCGAGCTTCCTCATACAGCCAGCAGTGAAGGATAGTCAAGTGGCGCATCGCCAATCGCCATAACAACACTCCCTTCCCTCCTTCCCTTGCGACTTCAACTCGATTGCAGCGGTATAGGGAGAGGAATCTCCTCAAGCAGCAGCTCACTAACACATATCCAAGGGCTGGACAAGCCCACTTAGATTGACCACCTCCGGTCAGCCATTTGAATCTACTTTTAACATGCTCACTGTCTGCTTTTAACATAGGTCACCAAGCCACGGCTACTAATTCCCCCTCCCCCTCCCCCGCCATGACAAGCCCATTAATAATTTTGCAGTCCCAGTATAAATTTATTTCCTTGATATAATAAGTTAGTCATATTTTAAAGAGATTTAACAAATTTACGTCTTGTAAACATGAAGTCATCATCAGGCGACCTTTCTACACTTGATTATGACCCTTGAGTTTGACGGAAAATGAGAAAGAGAAGGAATAAAAAAAAACATTTAAAATAATAATGTAATACTTTTGTACTTACTGGTACTGGTACTACCAGAAAACACTGTCGATATACTGCACTTTTTCAAAGTGGCGTGTTTTTCATGTCTAATGAAACAGTCGTTTGTGAAATGTTTAGAACAAAGATAATAATTTTGTTTCGAACACCAATTCAAAATATTTATGCTTTTAAGCCATAATTTTAGCTTAAGTTCAGTTGGAAACCTGTTAATTAATTAAACATTTAATAATTATCTGTTGTCGGCGACTTTGGTTGTTAACTGATATGGGTAGGAAAGAACATCGATAAGTATTATCGACAAGGAACTCGACAAACCTATTGAATTTTATTGTTTATTGAAACTCAGTAATATAAAGCCAAACATGTTGGTAATTACGATACATGTTAAGATTAGTAACAAATTTTTAAGTACCACCTATTATCAAATAATAATATTATCAAATAGTTTTAATTTGTTTAATATTGGCTGTAAATTCACATACTTGTGGAATGTTATACCACTTTCCTTTTGGTAACGAGTCAAATCATCAAATCAAATCAAATAATTTATTTGTAAAACATATGTAAAAAGTACACTATGTTTGTGAGTTTTAATTTTTTAAATTGTTCAGTAAAATATTTTATCTAAGTACATTCGGTTTTGTAATGGAACATCTGCGTGTTTTAGTCTATGCTTGTAGATGGCTTGGTATTAAAATGAATTTTTTTTTCTCTTGTGGTATTACGATGTTATTTTTTCATTTGAACAACAAACTATTTTAGTAACTTGACTACTGAATTGCTACTTACGTTCAGGTTCAAACTTTGATTTCAATTATCGTATTACAGTGGAATCTCTATAACTCGAATGTCAAGGGAAATGCAAAAAAAATTCGAGTTAACGAGTTTTCGACTTAACAAGAACTTATACGAAATACATATGATTTAACTGGTGAAATTTCGACAGCGCGATTCCTAAGTATATTTTTCGATTCGTAGAGTCGAATTCAAATAACAATTCAACTTAAGTTTTATAATACAAATTTTTTACATATTAAAACAAATTACACAATAAAAGAAATTACATATTAATGAAGTAAACTCTACACTAAAAAAAATCCGTTATCTTGTTTTGATTTAAACTACTTGCAGATTTTTTATCAATTATTTTTTCAAGCTCAGCCAAAGCCAAAATAAATACTACTATGGTTCATAAAAGATAGCTTGATCTCTGCGACAATATCATACTTTATCGGCATGAAGTATGACATTGACAGGTACTGTCTGTACTACTAAGAAATTCGGGACTTCATAGGCGTGATTTTACTGACAGCTGTCGCAGAGATTAAGATATCTTTTATGAACCATAAAAGTAAGCGTGTCCCGTGTCGACAAGGAACAAACATAACGTTCACAGCTGTGTTACGAGTACTTAGAAAGTTTTATGAATGTGTTCATTCATGGCACGTGTATAAGAAAAAAAACAATAGATTAGAGGCTAGAACCGGAACATTCATTTTGGATTTTATTGCTATTATTTCGGGGAATTCCAAGTAAGACGTCATTATATTTTACTAACTACGACTTACGGAGTCTCTTTTGAAATTAGCGTTATAGAGCACAGTGGAGAAGCTAGAGCTCCAAGCTAGGGCAAGCCCAAGATTTAAATTGATAAAAATACAGATTGTTGTTATTAGCAGTTTTATAAAAATACACCAATCTTGATCTGTCTCCACGCTTCAGTTTCATATTCAGTGCTGTCAAGGACGTGTTTAACAAAGCACACAGAAGGCATACCATTGCTAGATAGATTGTATTACATATCAGCAATTGCATAGCTTCGGTGGCTTTGAAGAAAGCCATTTGGGTTTGTTTAAGCGAAAGAAAAAAAATATTTATATCCAATACAATACATGAACAAAAGTAAAATACGAACAAAGTATAAACAATGTACAAAATTAAAAAAAAAAATTATTTACATTCTAATGGATAAGAGATAAGATAAGATAAGTGGAATCGTCTCGCTTTCTTATGGAAAGATTTAATTACGTCCACGTAAAATGTTGGTGAACGTTTTAATTGTACCAATAACTGTTTTTAATTGCGATAATTGATAAGTCTGAAATACACTCTTAACCTTGTGTATTATCTCAACAAAGTTTAAAGATTTCCTCTCCGATTATCACTTTAACACACTTCAATTCATCACAAGGAACACTATTATCCTTCATTTTCATTAAAAATTTAAAAACGCATAAATTTTGAACTCGTAATATTAAATCGCTTAAGATAAGCACACAGAGTAAATAAACATTGAAACGTGAAATGAACTTGCAAACGTATTGCCCGCGCACCTCCGCTTTTAACAAATTTATTCCCAAAAGCCTGGCTTTAAACCTCTATACTAATTGCTATATATACAATCGTAGTTATATGACATTATAGAATATTTTGCCATAGGTTAGAAAGAGAGCGATCGTCTTCTCGAAAGCCCCGTAAAAAGCCCACGCGAGCGAGGGAGACAACTATTAGCTCTATTAAAACTCATTTTTTATGACAGCAGCAGTATCGCTAAGGCAATACGAGGTCATCGGTCGACATGTGTCGAACAGTGGAGTGCGCGGGAAATTTGAAATAGCTTGAAACATTTTACGAGTTATTTTATTAGTTGATATTATTGATTGATTCAGGTTTAATAAGGCAAGCCCGGCTTTTCGGCTTTAATGGAAGCTTCGCCACTGATAGAGTATAAATATGTATTATCAATACTTCGTAGGGAAATAACATTTTTTTCGAGTTACAGTCTAAATAATTCAAGATAACGCGTATTTAGGGGTTCTGCGGAAGGGAATGGCAATTTTTTTCAACTTACTGAGGATTTAGACTTAACGAGGTTCGAGTTATAGAGATTCCACTGTATTAGCGCCGCTCCGCACTGCATAAATATCGAAGCCTCACTAAATGTCACTCAAATGAGATGTACGGATTGCAGCACAGTTCATAGAACATAGTGAGTGTTCGGAATGCGAAATCTAGTGCGTAGTACATATATATATCGATGTTTGTAACTAATTGCTGTATATAACTATTGTAATGGATTTTTTCAACTAAGATTTTTACAATCCTGTACATCCATTGCCTTGTATAACATGATTGTTGGTCGTTAGGTTGCACACGAACGACCAGCTGGTGAGCGTGAACGGCGTGTCGCTGGTAGGGCAGAGCAACGCGCAGGCCATGGACACGCTGCGGCGCGCTCTGCTGCACGCGCGGCCCGCCCGCAGCGGCCGTATCTCGCTTACCGTCGCGCGCCGTACCGGTACGTACCGTCGCATACTGCGTACACACCGTACACACGCACCGCACCGCACCGCACGTACCGTCGGTGGGGCAGAGCAACGCGCAGGCCATGGACACGCTGCGGCGTGCGCTGCTACACGCGCGGCCCTACCGCAACGACCGCATCTCGCTCACCGTCGCGCGCCGTATCGGTACGTACCGTCGCATACTGCGTACACACCGTACACACGTACCGCACCGCACCGCACGTACCGCCGGTGGGGCAGAGCAACGCGCAGGCCATGGACACGCTGCGGCGTGCGCTGCTACACGCACGGCCCTACCGCAACGGCCGCATCTCGCTCACCGTCGCGCGCCGTATCGGTACGTACCGTCGCATACTGCGTACACACCGGACCCACGCACCGCACCGCACCGCACGTACCGCCGGTGGGGCAGAGCAACGCGCAGGCCATGGACACGCTGCGGCGTGCGCTGCTACACGCGCGGCCCTACCGCAACGGCCGCATCTCGCTCACCGTCGCGCGCCGTATCGGTACGTACCGTCGCATACTGCGTACACACCGTACACACGCACCGCACCGCACCGCACGTACCGCCGGTGGGGCAGAGCAACGCGCAGGCCATGGACACGCTGCGGCGTGCGCTGCTACACGCACGGCCCTACCGCAACGGCCGCATCTCGCTCACCGTCGCGCGCCGTATCGGTACGTACCGTCGCATACTGCGTACACACCGTACACACGCACCGCACCGCACGTACCGCCGGTGGGGCAGAGCAACGCGCAGGCCATGGACACGCTGCGGCGTGCGCTGCTACACGCGCGGCCCTACCGCAACGGCCGCATCTCGCTCACCGTCGCGCGCCGTATCGGTACGTACCGTCGCATACTGCGTACACACCGTACACACGTACCGCACCGCACCGCACGTACCGCCGGTGGGGCAGAGCAACGCGCAGGCCATGGACACGCTACGGCGTGCGCTGCTACACGCACGGCCCTACCGCAACGGCCGCATCTCGCTCACCGTCGCGCGCCGTATCGGTACGTACCGTCGCATACTGCGTACACACCGTACACACGCACCGCACCGCACCGCACGTACCGCCGGTGGGGCAGAGCAACGCGCAGGCCATGGACACGCTGCGGCGTGCGCTGCTACACGCGCGGCCCTACCGCAACGGCCGCATCTCGCTCACCGTCGCGCGCCGTATCGGTACGTACCGTCGCATACTGCGTACACACCGTACACACGCACCGCACCGCACCGCACGTACCGCCGGTGGGGCAGAGCAACGCGCAGGCCATGGACACGCTACGGCGTGCGCTGCTACACGCACGGCCCTACCGCAACGGCCGCATCTCGCTCACCGTCGCGCGCCGTATCGGTACGTACCGTCGCATACTGCGTACACACCGTACACACGCATCGCACCGCACGTACCGCCGGTGGGGCAGAGCAACGCGCAGGCCATGGACATGCTGCGGCGTGCGCTGCTACACGCGCGGCCCTACCGCAACGGCCGCATCTCGCTCACCGTCGCGCGGCGCAACGGTACGTACCGTCGCATACTGCGTACACACCGCGCCACACCGCACACACACGCGGTGGCTTACGTACTTGGTAGAGCCACGCTGGAACTATATATTATGGTTGTAGCACGAATGGCTCGGTTCACTCGGGGAAGGACTACGCTCTCACATAATACCAGGGTGAAATAGAAGCTTAATGCTGCTGTGTTTCGTATAGTGAGCTTAGACTGACTGACAGACAGACATACTGACGGAGGCTTGGAGACCCTTTTTACTGGAAAAGAGGCATTCTATCTTAGTCTCCAGGATATGTGTATCTGTATTTTTAAATAGAATAAGCGTGACAAACGAACACACAGATCACCTGATGGTAAGTGGATTCCGTGACACATATAAGCTGCATTAAACTGCTATTTCACGTTCTTATTCTATGAGACTGTGCATTTTCCAAGTCAAGCCGACCCGTTCACGTTCTGTAAGAAATAGATACGTACATTGCGTGCATTGAACACGCTTCGCACTGCAATGTTTATAAGCATACATACTCATACTGTCATACATACAAAATCGCACACAAATACGCACTCCCAAATACACAAACTGAGTCCAGTGCGATAACTGTATAAGTATATATGTATTGTATTTATCTAAATACATAAGAAATCAATTATTTATCCTACTTTAGTTTATCCTATACCTTTAAACGAGCAATTCTTAATAATCGGAATCTCGGAAACGGCTCCAACGATTTTCATGAAATTTAGTGTCCAGGCATTTTTGGGGGCAATAAATCGATCTAGCTAGGATTTATTTTTAGAAAATGTCTTTTTGTCCGTGTTTTCAGGCAATGAAAAGCTGCTACAATATAAGAAGGTAAATTTTGACACTGTGTTAATGATCGTAATAGCTCAAGTGTATATCGAGCGGCGTATATAATGCCTTGGTACGCGTCCTACCTTCGGTCCCATTTTTTCCCTTCTTTTTTCAAGTTCCCTTCTTTTGTGAGAAAATCTATTATTTCGAGCCCTTTTTTATAGTATGAAAATTTTAATTAAACTAATTGCACTCATGATTTTTTATTCAAATAACCAGTTCAGTTTTTTCTATTATGTCAATAAGATTGAAAAAAATTATTCATCAGTATGTAATTTGTATCTAAATGTAATTTCCAAAAAAAAAAAAAAAAAAAACCAGCAAAGCTCGGTTATCCGGGTACTTAGTAATAATTTTCAAAACAACCATTTTTAGAAATTAAATGAGAATATAGTGTAATTATCTTAAAGTTTTATAGTCAGAGTTATCTGACATAACCATTTGTAAACACAAAAACTTTTAAACTCTTTCAAATATAAAATCAACCAAATGATTATATGCAGCAATGTTATATGACAAATGTATACAATATTAAAAAAGAACTTATAAAGAACTAAAAACTTTAAATATCATACTGTCCTACTTCCCGTTGTATTGTGCCAAGAATACTGGCTGCGTTTCCTCGCTGAATGGCTATACTTAGCCTTTGAGCGAGTTGATTCAGTTATTTACGAATGGTCAACAGCCCGTTTCAAATTATTTGTTGCAATTTAATTACGACAGTATCGACTGCACAATTCTGCTAATAATGGGTAAATATACTAGAATGCATTCTATTTCAGCCTTCAAGGGTTTGTTACGCCTATGTAACATTCTTTAATTGAAAAAATTAAAGGTGTAACTTGTAATTTTAACTCACCATCAAGTAGTGTTAGTTTGTAACTGTAATAAAATATTTAAACAAAATGTGATTTCACAGACAGCATGGACAGCCTCGCCCGGTGGAAGGACGACACTCCGCCCAACGGCAACGACACCACCAATTCAAATGATAACAGCAACTCGCAGAATTTTAATACGATTATATATAATGCAGCCGATAAAGAAAATAAGCCAGATTACACACAGAAGTTCGAAGTTAACCAAAAAGAAGTAGGCATCGAGTCATCGACGGAAGAACTAGTAAGAAGCATGCATCCATCGTTACTATAAACAATAATAGCAGTTGGGTATCTAACCAATCGGACGACAGCAAAGGATATTTAGAAAGAGACAAAGATAGCGTACCCCACGATACTAAGAGAGACAGCTTCGAATGGAGTCGATTGGATGGATGGAATCCGGTAATAGACAGACTGACGGGACTTAGGAATGAGAGTTACTACATGGCGACTCAAACGGACGGAACCGTGACAAATGGTCATCATTTTCGGCAGAACGTAGGCCATGTTCATATGGCGCGGTCACCACCAGCCCACCATAATGTTATTATAGAAGAGGATTATGGGACGACGAGGTAAGATAATGAAACAATTTCTATAATAAATATAATTATGCATATATAAGGATTATTTTTATAGCTTGTAGTTGAATGATGGTTACGAGTTGAGATTTCGAGTCTGCCCCGGGCGGCTGCCCTCATGCTAGGATGTTACACATTGCGCACACCTTTAAGCGGGAAAACTTTGTCTTTGGCCTATGGCGAATTTTAATGGCTAAATAACTTCAGAGTTACCTCGTCGCCATGTTTTGTTGTGACAACAAGCACCAAAAAACTAAATGGACCACTTGGTCACTCTGTATTTTATGGGTGAAATAAATACTTTATTAATAAGCTTTACTGTGCGAAAATTCATTATATTGTATATATGAAATTAATTAGATAATATCTAAAAAAAATAAAAGTAATAGGTATGTTTTACCTAGTTTGAAGAGCATCTCCCACTGTAACTCATTTATTTGCGATCACTATCGCCGTTACCACTTATCCCAACACCATTACCGTCAGCGCCATTATACTAGGAAAGACACACAACCAGCAATAATATGACACGTGTTTCGCCTCCTAACGGGGTATTATAGGAGAAATACTGTGATGGCTGAAGCTCGGTCAAACACGGGTTGTATTATCGACAGCAGTGTATCTTACTCGTATCTAGTGTACACACAGACACACATATATACAGGTTGTTATAAAACTACCCGTAAAGCCGAAAGGAGGTTAAATGGGATCTTATAACGAGTCCATTCACAATATTTAAGAACCGTAGTAACGCTGTAACATACCCAAAAAAAAAAAAATATTATTTTCACTGATGTGCAAACCCTATTTCAGTAAAATTAAAGAGTGAACTATGAAGAATGTACCTACATTTCTACCTAATTCGCGGAACGACAAAAATTTTAAAAGACCTAACATAACTAAACAACCTAAACGAACACTTACTTTTTCATAATAAACGTCAAATTTACAGAAACAGCTCAAAGTGAAGGCGGAGCTCAATACACAACCTCGCTCGTCGCGATATGGCTTGGGTGGCATTTCGCACCATCGTCGGTGTTATTGATGCGAAAACCGATCTAACACGCTGTTCCATCTCGGCAAACGTTGGGCGATCGGAGAAATACACTCTGTTCTTCACATTACCACACAAAAAGAAGTCCAAGGGTGTGAGGTCCGTAGAACGAGCAGGCCATAGCACCGGTCCTCCGCGGCCGAACCAACCTCGCGAAAAACGAACGTTAAGATGTTCTCGTACGTTGCGAGCAAAATGTATCGGAGCTCCATCATGCTGAAACACCATATTTCTTTGGTTCTCAAAGTAATCCCAGTTAGCCACAAAAAAGTCGTTAATCGCCTCTTCGAATTCCGTTTGTAAAAACGTTAGATAGTTGCTACCGTTCAGACGTGATGGCATAATGACGGGACCGATGACATGTCTGTCATAAAGGCCAGCCCACACTTTCAGCCGCTACTGGTGTTGGAATCTGCCCTGCCGTGAAGCATGTGGATTCACACGAGCCCATAAGTGATATTTGAAAGTCCTGACCTCGTGAATGTTGCCTCGTCCGTCCAAAGAACATAGTTTACGTAATTAGGGTTTTCCTCTAACTGCCTGAGGTACCACTCGCAGAAGCTCCTCCTGGGTGCAAAATCGGAGGGTATCAGCTCCTGTGTATGGCGATAGTGATAAGGGTGACGATTGTCGTCACGAAGAATTCGCCAAACTGCAACATGGTTTATACTGAATCTTGTTTCGGCTCACCTCGTACTTGTGTTCGGCTCTTCTTCAAAATGCTCTAACACTAATTCACCCCGCCTGGAGTCGACTGTGCTTGGACGTCTACTTCCAGTAGACCGATGAAAAGAGCCGGTGGAATGTAGTCATTTTGATATGTTCAGAAAAAATTGGTACGAAGGCAGCCATCGCTGTTCAGGGGGGAGGGGGGACCTACCATCGATAAACTTGAAACAGTTGTTTTTTTTACAATGACATTTTTTGAAGCCAGTACTTGAGTATAATGACATCCTCGTATTGAGGTAAAAACATTTATGAATGAAAAATTGAAAAACTGTCAAAGTAGACAATTATTAGGTAAAACAGGTACGTAGGCCTTTCTCTTAAATAATCTATTTTCCTGACATGACAGCTTACTAGGGTTGACAAATTTTTTTGCTTTGATAATTAATTATATTTTTACGGGGTATTTTGTACAACACGTTGTATAAATTAATTGTTGTGTTATTGGTTGGTATTAGGTAGTCAAGATTACAGGAACGATAAATATTTTTTTAACTATTTAAAATCTGCTTTATTCCTAATTACGATTATAATTCTATTTTATTTCTAATTACAATTATATCAACTATAAAAATTTTTGCGGACCGATACGACTTACGGACCTTCAAGAAAAGAGCCTACTCCTATTTATAAGGCCGGCAACGCATCTGCAATTTCCCTGTTGTTGCAATTGTTCATGGGCGGCGGTAATTGAGCTGTGTGCTCGTTTACAACTCCTATAAAAATAAATAATTAACACGTCTTGACAGAGGTCGATGTCAAAACGATCTGACCGCTCCCATGAGCTCTGTCTGATACCTAATGCAACCCAAAGCGCTGACTCAACAGTCACTGGATACTGCCTAATGCTTATGCAGCCCCCTCTAAGTACAAATCCTAACAACCCTATGGTTTTGTAGTTGCATAACTCGGTACAAGATTGATTATTGATGTTGGTGCACGTGTGCAGGGGCGGCGAGTCAGGCAGCGAGTGCGGCGCGGCGGGCGCGGGCTTCAGCCGCGACGCGGTGGGCCGCCGCTCCATGTCGGAGAAGCGCCACGCCGCGCTCGACGCCAAGCAGACCGGCACCTACAAGAAGATCAAGGAGACCAAGGCCGTCAGCGGTCAGTACTGAATGAATGAATGAATGAATGAATGAATGAATGAATATACTTTATTGCACACCACAAACTTAAGAACATAACAGAGAGCAGATACAGTTTTGCTACAGCGATCTCTTCGGCAACGTACTTTGCCATTCTCACCGAACGCGCTTAGATTAAGAATCCAAAATACAGACGCGCTCTCACCCTTAAGGGCTATGAGGGAATGCCTTTTTTACTGTTAAAATATTTTGCGGTTTTCTGCACTCACTAATTGAAAACCCAGCAGTATTAAGCTGCTATACTGCTGCTATATAAAACCATTTTATAAACTGCAAATACAGTCTTTGTTCAATGAATAAATTTAAATTTGGTTAGAAACGTCCAAGGTACGAGACAAGCTATAGCACTGCCATTGTTAATCCGCCTGTCAAGCGCCTGACGCTCTTTAACAGGAAAGGCCCCTGACCAGCAGTGGACTTCCACGGACGGCTGGAAAAAAGAACAACAGTTTACAGACTTTTTTAATTTAGTGACCTAATCTTGAAATTAGGCGTAATTTGTGGCCTGCACCCTTCTTAAGATGAAGGCTGTCAGCAGACAATCCTACTTTTCACAGCGAGAATATAAATTGAAAAAAAAAACTCGCGCTGCTTCCAATCTATCATAAAGCGTTACATCGTGTGTATATATTTTCGCCATAGTTGAAATAAGCCAGGAATTTTTTCTTACATTCCATGATATATATTGTTACGAGCTTTTACCAAAACTGACACTTTATTTATCGAACACCAATTACGACTTAAAACACACTAATAATAAAACATAATTGTACTACTGTGATTTTAGTTCGCAGTTATATCGATTCGAATTATTCCCTTGTATTGTCAAATCAATACTGACTCGGTCGCGATCCTTACCGGCCTATTGTAGGGCCTCTTCTACTGAAACATCTAGAATGTTCCAGTACATACCGGTCCAGACTGACTACGTGTAGAAAGTTCTAGTATGGAATTTTCTTGAAAGATCTTAGGTCTCCTAGTTCTGCTACTCAATACTAGATGACGCTAGAAGTAACTCGCCATGTACCAGGAAATAATTATGGCGCGCAATAATATATATATATATATATATATATATATATATATGTTCTTACACAAAATTTGTGAATATTTATAAAATATAATATTATAAATTGTTATATTTTTTTAGCTATGCAAGTTGGACCGTCGTTAGGGATGCGAAAATCTTCGAGTTTAGAATCTCTACAAACAGCCATACAAGAAACTCAAAAAAATCCACGCAGTGAGCCCTTGTATGCTCGAGCACATCCACGTAAGATTTGACTAACATTCTTTTTATTACTCATATTTTGTTATTCACTATGTAATAATAATTCACGCTTAACTCCCACAGATTTAGTCGGAGTGCAAATGTAATATTTTTTTATTTTTCAGCGCTAAAACATTGGTTAACGGATGATAATAACGCTCCTGAGCATATCATAAGAGGATCGCCCCAACAGTCGTCTCTATCACATAAAAAACCATCACTATTGAAATCATTATCAACTATGTTCAGGTAATCATATTAATCACAACATAATTCACTATACTATGCAAACCAATGATATATATATATATATATATATATATATATATATATATATATATATATATATATATATAGTTAATAAACGTTCACAAATTGATAAAGTTCATAAGCTTTCATTAGTTGAAGATTTTTTATTATTTTATTAAGATTATATTTATTGTTAATAGAATTGGCAAACCTCACAAGAAAAACGAAAATGAAGGGTATGGAAGATCGCAGCCTGGACGATCTTCGGAAAAATCTCTTTCAAGAGAAGCACTCGAGAGGCACAATAGAATAGACGAGAGGATAGAAGATTCTATACCACCTCCACCTCAGAGGTAGCTATTGTTACTTTCATTAAAACAAAATATTTATTTCTGATGGTTCTGGACGTAATAGACTACTTAAATTAGACCTGAGAGATCCTGATGGTAAAATAGACCATAAATCAAAATAGTTTTTGGATATGCTGGTTATTCTTTCTCTTTTTTTAATATCTGAACCGATCAGTCAACTATTTCAAATTAAGAACATTTTATAAAAATTATTTACTACCTCTAGCTGTACTTTCTAAGTTCTAATCGGTTTCATTTAACTGACGGACGGATCATGCACTCTGGCACTAGTTCGATCTGCACGAGCCACTTCAAATGTTTGATGTTCGTCAGTGGTGACGCACATCTCTACCTTCGTTTAAATTTGAATGCAGTTGTCCTAAGACTAAAATAGTCAGTTGTTATTGGCTGTTAAGTACTGTTAGTATTATAAAAAAGTACCTGGATGACCGAGCTTTGCTTGGTTTTTTTTTTTGAAATCGTGTGTTTTGGAAATTATATTTAGAATCAAACGACTGATGAAACATGATTTTTTTATCCTATTGACATAATAGAAAAAACTGAACTGGTTATTTGAATAAAAAATCATGAGTGCAATTAGTTTAATTTAAAAAAGGGCTCGAAATAATAGATTTTCTCACAAAAGAAGGGAACTTGAAAAAAAAGGCAGACCGAAGACAGGCCGCGAACCAGGGCACTACGATTTCACGACGGCCCGATATCCACTTGAGCTATTATTTATGAGGACAAAACGACATTTTCTAAAAAAATCCTAGCTAGATCGATTTATTGCCCCTGAAAACCCCTGGATACAAAATTTTATGAAAATCGTTGGAGCCGTTTCCGATATTCCGAATATATATATATATATATATATATATATATATATATATATATATATAAAAATATATATTTTACAAGTAATGTGTTTGACAGAGAGGAATCCAGCCGGTCGCGACAGAGCAGTAGTGAACGCGGCTCGCGGTCCGACAAGCGAGCGCACGCGCCGCCCTACCGCGCCCCGCCCGCGCGCACCGCGCCCGCACACCACGCACACGTACGTACTCGCACAATTACACTGCGTACGTACCCGATTACTTCCACTGCGTGCGTACCCGGACACTTCCACTACGTACATACCCGAACACTTCCACTGCGTACGTATCCGAACATTTCCACTGCGTACGTACCCGAAAACTTCCACTGCGTACGTACCCGAACACTTCCACTGAGTACGTACCCGAACACCTCCACTACGTAAGTACCCAAACTAGAGATGGGCCGAATGAGATTTGAACCGAATCCGAACTTCGGCCGAACATTCGGTTCAAATGAAAGGTTCAAATGAACTTCGGTTCATTTTCGCGTGCTTTCTCGAGAGCGACGCGTCGTGACTTGTTTACGCATTTACTTCAAATACCCCACCCGCACACAGCGATCCCTCCGCGTACCCCGAGCCGGCCGGTAAAGAAAAAATCAAGTGTTTGGACATTTTATACAGAAACTGGTCAACTATATACAGTGAAATGTATCCTATGTGATTCGCTGATATCTCGTGGTGGTAGTGGACGTTCAGCGTCTACTTCTGCACTGACCAACCACCTTCGTGTGAAGCATGATCGAGAATACACACAATTACAACATCCCATTCATTCGCCAAATCCAATCCTTCCTTCAGTAAGACCTTCATCGTCGAATACTACTGAAGAGTTGCCCGCAGCAGAGTCATAATTACGTCAAGCGACCATTGAGGGCACATTTGAAAGTAAGTGGAAAATAGATGACCCAAGGGCTAAACAAATTCACAAAGCCATAGCAGAAATGATATGTGTGGATAATCTACCTACATCTATTGTAGAAGATTTATTGTATGGATTATTGTACGGATTTAATCGGTTGCTAGCCATATTAAAACCAAAATACCAGATGGCCAGTCGAAAATACATTACTGAAACAGTGATAGTTGAAATGTTTGAACAATTAAAAAAGAAGATTTTCAACCAACTATCCGAAGCTAAAACGATTTCAGTTACAAGCGACATGTTTTTTTAAGTTTTACTGTTCACTGGCTTGACAACAATTTTGTACATGGGATGCTAAAAATGAAATCGTTTTCAGAGCAGCATACAGCGCATAATATCCAGTGTGCTCTAGAAGAAATAGCCGAGTCATGGAACATCTCAGACAAAATACATGTTATCGTCACTGATAACGGCCGCAACATTGTGAAAGCCGTAAATGACAGTCTTTTTGAAGGAAAAACGTGCTTCATTCATACTTTGCAACGAGCAATTCACGGTGCTTTAGACGCGCGGGAAAGTGTTAATGAAGCAATAGCGGCAGGGCGTCGTATAGTGACTCATTTCAATCACTCACAACCGGCTCAAGAAAAATTGCAGCTGATACAGACTGAGCTCAATGTACCCAAGCACAAACTTATTCAAGACGTCAGCACCCGCTGGAATAGCACTTTTTATATGGTTGAAAGGTTACTGGAGCAAAAGAGAGCGATTTCGTTTTACATATCTGATAACAGAACACAATAAATTTTCAAAATTTGACAGAGAGACAATGGGATCTTCTGAAAGAATGTCTTGCTTTACTTCAACCTTTCGAAGAAATCAAAAAAAAAATGAGCTCTTCCTACTCCTGTATATCAGAGGTCATTCCTAACTTGACGATGCTTTCGAAGTATTTGATCAAAGAAGAAGTTAAAGTGGCTGTACCTGAACACTTCCACTGCGTACGTACCCGAACACCTCCACACCGTACGTACCCGATCACCTCCACTGCGTAAGTACCCAAACACCTCCACTGCGTACGTACCCGAACTCCTCCACTGCGTACGTACCGGAACACCTCCACTGCGTAAGTGCCAAACACCTCCACTGTGTACGTACCCGAACACTTCCACTGCGTATGTACCCAAACACCTCAACTGCTTATGTATCCGAACACCTACACAGCGTAAGTTCCTGAACATTTCCACTGCGTGCGTACTCGATAGCTTTCAGCGTGTACAAACCCAATCACTACAATAAACAAGTATGTCCTTGTCAACACATTCAACGCGTACAAAACCTCACACCACTTTATAATATTATGGTGTAATAATATTAGTTTAAGCCACTAATACTCACTTGTTAGATCCGTTACATCCTATGAAAGTCTAGTTAGTGTAACGTATTACGAAAAATATTTCAAAAAAACTTATTGCATATATAGTAAACAATACACTGACCTGTATCAACAACTGTCTAAATTGCCTGGCTATAAATACTCTTTGTTTTAAACGAGTAATAATCTTTACTGTTTATTGTACTTATCTTGAAATATTCATACAAATTTCAACCTTCTAAAATATGTTATGAAATACTACCGCGCGCTATCTTCCGGACAAGGCTCAACTGAACTATTTGTGGCCAACAAAATCATCTGAGTTTTTTTCTCTCTACATATTTGTGTAATTTTAATTCATATATTTGAATGTCAGGCTTATTTAAAAGCATGTTATTTTTGATTATTATTTTATCAATGTTATAAATTGAAGTGGGGATTTAAATGGGTTTATATTACAACCGGGAACCAGTTAGTGATTTTATATTTTCATTAACAGTAAACAGTTATACGGTTATATATATTACATTGGGTGCGTTTGGCAGAAAAAAGCGTTAGCAAGCGCTTGTAAGCAAAATGGCGATCGTAAGCGGTAAGCGCTGTCAAATCGTAAGTAGCTATTTTCCTCTAGGAAACGAAGTTAGTTTTAACCGGGGAACCTAAACTAATTTAAATATATTGTTTGTAAAGTATTCATATTAAAAAATTACCAATCATGAATTTTAATGACATGTAGGTATATATGTTTATTCATGTCATTATATTACTTAAAACTAATATTGCACAAAACAACTTATAAACTCTACTTCAAAACAAACAAATTAAATAAGCAAAATGGCGGATTGTGTCAGCGCTACCGAAGTTAGCAAACGTGTCCCGGCCTAAAACTGTTTAGGTTCGCCATTTTGCTTATGTCGCCTCTACACGTTGGCCAACACAGTGGCGAATGGAGTGGCGAATATATTGGCCGAGAGTTGGTGACGGCGTCCACACGTTGGAAGGTCGTTCAGTTTATTTCGGTTCGGGCCAATGTGCGGACGAATTTATAAGCACCGTGGCGCAGTGGCTCAGCAATGAGTGTCTGCGTCGTGCGCCGCGGGTTTGATCCCGCACGGAACAAGTATTTGTATGTCCTACAAATAATTGTTTCGGGTCTGGATGTGTGTCCTTGTGCAATTTATGTTTGTAAACTGCCTGCGCGATACGGGAGAAAATCCTAGTGTGGGGTTAACGTTTTTATAAAAGAATTATAAAATAATAGTGGTTATTAATGGGGCTGTAAATAGATATACGATATTATACAACTAGCTTTATTTATTCTTTAGTTGCATCATAAACTGGAATAAATACCATTAATAAGAACTTAACTTATTTTAAAGTTAAAGGAGTTATAATCGATTAGTCTATGTTTTAAAATTGGGTTTTGATTTTAAAGTTTAGCAAAATATGTACTTGCATTTCTATCAGACATTTGATGTATATAAAAAACACCTTATAATTTATTTGGTAATTTAATTATTTTTTAAAAAAGACAAAAACAATAGCAATAAATATAATTAACATTGACTTAATAATAGGTACTAATTATAAATTAGAACATAAATAAAAAACTCATGACGAGCAAAGTGGCTCAGGACCATGCTTTGCGGCAGTCTGTAGAGGAGGATGTTCAGTAGTGGACTTGTGAAGAGCTGCAATGATGATGATGATTCGAAAACTTGCACGATTAAATTATAAGAAATCGACGTTTTTTTATAGGATAGTGTGACAAACGAGCACATTCACCTTCACCTGATGGTAAGTGGTCTAAGTGGCCCATAGAAATCTACATCTATCCTTTTTATTTTGATTACGAATCAAAATGCAGATGCGTTGTCACCCGTGAGGACTAAGATGAAATGCCTCGTTTCCTTTAAAAAGGGTCTCTGGTTCTCTACACTCACTATACGAAACACAGCATCATTAATATACTATTATGTTACGCTTATATTCTGTGAGAGCGTGGTCCTTCCACGGTCGAGCCGACCTTCGTGCTGCAACTATACTTCTAATATAATTGCATGGTTCTACCACGTATAAACGACGTGCTTCATTTTTTTTTTCATTTTAAAATTGTTCTCGTAATAATCTGATTGTAAAAAAATGTTAATTTTTTTTTGATAAATAGCTTATTGATTAAAACAAATGTTCAATAATAATTAAATCGCGCTAATTAAAGTAGTAGGAATGTTTAAAGTTGAAATTGGCACTAGAAGGCTGGTAATTGGGGCATCCACACTACAAAACGCCGTTACAAGCGCTTGCTAGCGCTTTTTTCTGCCAAACGCACCCATTATTTATATGCTTAAAAATTCCCTTAATAGATTGATGCGTCATAGTAGGAAGCTGCGAAGTGATTGTTCATTGTCGTCATACATTTTTTTATTTTAGTTACGCAATGTTTAACCCGATATTTTTCGTGTTTTTTACGTAGATATTTTTTGCTCTTTAATCCGTGTTAACAAGTGTCTGAGATTTATGGAAGATGTTCAGATGTGGACTTGTATAGGTGGTAATGCAAATAAATAAATAATAATCAATCATATGTAAATATTTATCTTTTTGATGAATCGATGTCGGGGTTCGCTATCAGGGTAACTAGATTTACTATTATGCAAAAGAAAAGATAACATAGATATTGAAAGGCCCAACGTAAATAATGCGTGATAAAATATTATATTCATTTTGTTACAGGCAGTAGACTCAGCGTGGGGTCCTTCCGGTCTTTATGTAAATTACGAAGAAATTCAAAACTTTAAGTAAGTATATTTGATAGTACGATACTCGTAAATAAATAATGAATTTTCTTATTTATTATACTATTTTTTAAATTTATATTTTAAAAGATTCAGTAAAATAGTTCATAAACCTCGCGCCGTAGAATACTCCTCTTGACTTGGAATTAATATTTACTTGTAAAGTAAATAAAACTTTATGCGTTTTCCCTCATCGCCGAGAACGTAGCTCAATAAATATTATAGTTGACAAGTATCAACCGAAATACTTTTAATGGCAGTGAAAACTTAACATGTCTCTTATATCATGTAGCTTAAGCATTTTTTTTTCTTAAAAAGTCACCTTATCTAATTTAAAAGTTGATCAAATTTGGAAACTGGTATATAAGTAGCTAATTCAAATTATAATATTATTCGTTTTTACCCGAAGCTTCGTCCGCTTAGAGCTATGAGTATAATAAAAAAAAAACAGCAGATGTATAATAGCGGTATTTGGGGAAGTAGTTCAATTACTTGTCTTTAAATTCGATTTTTTTATTATCTCGAAAACATGCGATATGTTTAAACCACAGAAATCGTAATAATAAGACAATAGAAATGAATTAGCACTCGATTACTTCCCAAGCCGATGTCGCCACATCTTACCGTATTATAAACACACGCAATGCACAATGGTAATATAATGATAATGTTTCACATTACATTGCTTGGCGAGTTTGTCAACGTCGCGTGCGTCGCGTATTGCGGTAGAACAAAAGCAGCAATTGTAATTGTAAATACAAAAAGTAATAAATGAAAGTTTACAAAGGTAAATCATAGTAAAGTATTCATCTAGATATAAATTAGTTAATAGAATGATAATTAGTAAATAATCAACTTACCGATGAAATGTTATGCCTTTATTAGTTGAATTACACGTTCTTGATTAGTTTTTAGAACTCATTATGCTGCAGTTCACCATTATAATAACATAAATTCACGTACGACATTCCCCGCGCAACTAAATCACAAAATGGTGAATGAAATTCGTCAACACATCATAGCGGCGACAAGGTCACGCGTCTATGCGACTTCTATTGTTTTAATATTACAATTTCTGTGGTTTAAACCTAAGATTGAACTCAGTCTTGTTGTAAGGTTAGTGTTGAAGGGAAAATACATTATAAAATCGATTTAATAAAGAAATCCTGCATGTTTTGCCGACAAAATAAGCGTGTGTAACTTACATCACAATTGGTATAGCTATCCCTAGGATTGTTTCGGACAAACAGACGAACAGATAAGCAAACAGACAAAAAATTGAAAATGGTAATTGATATTGTAATGGTATGCAAATAACGCTTGAACTGAACAGAAGCCATTTATTGCTATATTATAGACAGATACTTAATTTTATTTAAGAACATTTATATTTAAGTAAAGATAATATCTACTACCCATTTGTTATACACATTAATAAATTGTGTGTTGCCGATGACCAATTTCGGTGGTTTGCGAATTTTTTAAATCCCGACCTTTTGAGAGCGGACAACACAACCGTTGCCGATGACGAAATTCCGTTGCTTACGAATTTACAACACCCCCATGTATAGAGTAGAGGCAGGGAGTACAGACTCTGTATAAAAAGGGTGGCGCCCCTGGAGCTACAGTCTAAATTTTAAAGAACTTTTTATAAATTTTGTATTGCACAGACTTTCACCATAATTCTTTTTACAATAATTATTTTATTGCTTTCGAAATTTTTATTTCCAAAATGAATCTCAACGTATTTTACGGCGGTATTTATCATACCCTGTAGCTACTCGAGCGCTGTTGTGGAGAGTTTTTGAACTGTTATTTACTGCTGGGCACATTTTCAACTATTCTCCTATGGGAGATTGTCCTCCTTACCTCTTTACTCCATGCCCTCATGGTTACGGGGGACTTAGGTGTCTAATGTCTAGATGTCATAGTTAACTCGGGCTACGTTCAGCGTTTAAATATTCCTTATTCGCTTCCTCATCAATTAATTGTATATCTATGGAAATTTGAATTGGAATTTTTGTGAGTGTTGAACACGAATTATTATTTGCAGCGCACGTCGTGAGAAACTGAGCGAAGTGCAAATTGGACAAATGAGGTTACAGATGAACGCACAGAGAGCAAAGGCTGAAGAGGAGAGGTGAATAATGCTAATATCGTACTTGAATTATTATGAATAAAACGTTACTCGCTTTTATGTTCTGACTGTTCTAAATTATTTCGTGAAACCTTTCCAAATTATTCAAAAAAGGCTTGTATTGCTGGATAGCTATATTATTTCTGTCCTACTAGGTTATACTTTATGAGTCTAGGGTATATGGTATGAAATGTAAGTTATTTTTTTAAAACAAAATAAACGTTCCTTCAAAGAGATAAAAGTGTAAAGAAAACGAGAAATTTTTCTAAAAATTTTGCTACTAAACTAAATTTAGTTCAAATATCTATAAAAAACAATGTAGTTCCTCATGCCACAAATACAGGATATTTTTTACAAATTTGCAGAGAAGGTTCGGAGTAGGTAATATAGCCGAATAGTGAAGAAAAATTAATTAAAAAACTCAAATATTCTGTCCCTTCTATCTTTTGGCTTCATAATGCGTTGTAATGCATTATTTAAACTGATTTTACTGCACACACATACATTCGTACGGGCAAAAACGTTGTTGCTCATAAATCACATTCAATTTGGAATAATTTCAAATAAAAGTAGAAGCCTTATATTTACTCATATTTTCAAAAACTGCAATGAAGGTAGATCATTATTTATAAATTTGAAATTATGTTTAAAATTTGGCTACTTTTTGAAAAATAACCTAAAAATATACGTACACTCGGTCACAAGGTCAGGCGAGAGTTGATAAAAAAGCAGGGTTCCTAAACTTATGACCAATTGCGGCCCGATAATTATTTTTGCAGAATCGCGCGCTTGACAACAACTGCGAGCCTCGTACCTCAAAACCTAGTGCTTCACACAGATTACGATCATTCAGCGACAGGCGTTATTGCGAGACGTTGTAATAATATTTATCAGCTCTCGCCGAACACACTTTAGAAGTTATTTTTTATAAACTGAATGTTTTCCTGAAGTAAAGTTCACTTTATAGTAAGTGAATGCTGTAGTCCGTAGACTCTCTACAACTCTACTGTTATCATCGGCTAGGAATCAAAATGCAGATAAGTTTTCACCACTGATACGAAGCATAGCAGCTTTTCAGCTCTTGACTCTGTCGAGCTTATTTACTCAATACTCAATAACTTTATTGCGTTCCATAGGTTACAAAAGGTGTTACATAGTTTTATGGTATCTCTATAGACCCTGATGGGCACAGCATAATATTACGAAAGAGGAACATTTATTTTGTTTTATTATTATTAATACTGTTAAATAATTATTTAATATTAACATTCATTATATTATATAAACATACACACATTAAATGTGGAATACGGCTATTATAATTGTTATTATTTATTAATTGATTTTGACATTTAATTTATTATTATAGGTAGTATAATTAGCACAGTTGAATTTTTATTAAATTATTTAAATCATTTTAAATTTTATTAGAATTTTATATTGTAATTTATTTAGTCGGATGGCATTTCATTATTACCTAACATATTTATATTTATTATAGTACCTGGATGACCGAGCTTTATTCGGTTTTTTTTGAAATTACATTTGGATACAAATTACACACGGATGAAACATGAATAATATTTTTTGATCTTATTAACATAATAGAAAAAACTGAACTGGTTATTTGAATAAAAATTCATGAGTGCAATAAGTTTAATTAAAATTTTCATATTTTATAAAAAATATTAAAAAAAGGGCTCGAAATAATAGATTTTCTCACAAAAAAGGGAACTTGAAAAAAAGGAAAAAAGTCGGACCGAAGACAGGACGCGAACCATGGCATTACGATTTCGCGACCGTCCGATATCCACTTGAGCTATTACGCTCATTAACACAGTGTCAAAATTTACCTTCTTATATTGTAGCAGTTTTTCATTGCCTTAAAACACGTAATTTTCTAAAAATAAATCCTAGCTAGATCGATTTATTGCCCCCGAAACTCCCTGGACACCAAATTTTATGAAAATCGTTGGAGCCGTTTCCTAGATTCCGATTATATATATATATATATATATATATATATATATATATATATATATATATATATATACTAACACTTGTTTATAAGTAGTTGCTTTAATTTTTTTACAAATGGTTTTTCGTCTGTAATGTTTTTTATATATTCGGGTAATTTATTATATACTTTTAATAGACATGGCAAATGGACTCGAAGAATGAGATTTTAGTTTTGAAGTGGGTAATACTGGTGGGTACTGGCACTAGTTCTTTTCTCTGTCTTAGAATCCTAGGTATGATGTAATCTCGTTTTTTGTAGAAGCTTACTTATTCGCACTGCAGCCATAATAAAGCTGTAGCGTGGCTCTGCTACGTACACAGTAATTCGATAATATCGCCTTATGTATGTTTATATTTAACCTTTTTATATTAAATAATTATTTTTAAATAATTAAACATGAAAGGTTTTTAATGGACAAAATAAGTGTGGAAGTTATTTATCGTAAAAAGTTATACAGGGGTTTTTTAAACGTTCTATACTAGGATTTCCTTCTATATCGTGCAGGAAGTTTTTATATACATTAATGACATATAGAAACATTTAGACCAACATCAATTATTTGTGGGCCATACAAACACTTATTCCGTGCGTAATTCGAACTCGCGGCCCTGCAGCGTGCTTACCAAACACTTAGCCGTTGCACTAATGAGTCGTCTGAAAAAAGATAACTATATTATTCAAATAACAGGTCTTACAATAAATAGCGACAAATATCTTTGTTCTTCAAATAAGAAAATTACTTCATCAACTTTCCTTAACAAATTAAGTTCTCGATGTAGAGCTTTCCTAAATTAAAAAAGAGAATTTCTTGGAACTAAGGTTTAATATTAAGACCTCAAATGATAAAATCTTTCAGTTATTTCACTGTTTGCCGGCGGCCACTGGCGGCCACTTGGTTTTATAGCACTTCTCGCAGTTGACTTTTACGACTAGACCTTATGATACGGAACTTAATAAATGAAGCAATGATTTTCTCATATGTTGCCACCATTTGAAGCACCTTACCACGAGAGTTAATTAACGCAATATATTAAATTAATATAGGCGTGAACTTCAAAATCGCAGAAATCGCTTTATCAGTGAACTCGTGTTAGGTATTTAATTATATATTTGACTAATTGACTAGTTACGTTGGGAAATCCTTTAACTTCCCCATTATGGCCAAATATTCAAAGCACCTGAACGCCAACGACGTTAGCTAATATGTACAGGCGACAAAGTGAACTTATGAGCTACACACATTAAAAAAATTTAAATTATCGTTACTTCTAATTTACTCAGAATATAATCATCGATGCACTTACGAGAAGTACTAACTTATAGCACTACTTAATAAGAGAAGTACCCTGGTGGTCACTTATACAGGTTGTTAGTGTAAACACCGTTATCTTTGAAACCAGTGGTTTGGTTTCACTTATACAAATTCAATGAAAAATATTTTTTTTAGTAAATTCTATATTTTTCCTTAATTCCTCAATTTTTGCCTGTCCTAAGCCAGGATGAAAGTATGAAGGAAAAGTTACATCACAGGTTATGTGTACCTATTGTATTTTTTTTTGGTATGTTGTGTAGGTAGCTAGCGTGGGCGGTGATGTTTACAGTTACCGGGTATCCATAAATTTACGGACGGTATCGGACAGAAACTTTTTAAATTTTATGAAAGAAAGTAGCGTTTTTTTTTAAGTTCGGATATATATTTTTATATTAAAGCCAACTAACTATGGTTTTAGTGCCAGCGGTGTTTATACTTACACCTTGTATATCCTTATACGATTTTAAGCAAAATCTGTTCATCAACTTTTAAAATCCTCTGCTGGCCATGGGCTCCGCACTTTGCGGATGGCGTTGCCGTGGGTTGGCGATGTCCGTACCAGAGCCAAAGCTCTCGGACCTTGACGCTGGTCCCAGTTACCGGGTATTTTACGTTTATGCCCATCTAAATGGATTGTCATACGTCGCAGCCACACGGCTGAAGCAAGGCAAAGAAAAATAAACTATAAACATTAGTAAATGGCTGCGTTTGGCAGAAAAAAGCGCTAGTAAGCGCTTGTAAGCAAAATGGCGAAACTAAACAGTTTTCGGCCAGGACACGTTTGCTAACTTCAGTAGCGCTGACACAATCCGCCTTTTGCTTATTTACTTTGTTTGTTTTGAAGTAGAGTTTATAAGTTGTTTTGTGCATGATTAGTTTTAAGTAATATAATGTCATGAATAAACATATACATGTTATCAAAAATTCATGATTGGTAATTTTTTAATATGAATACTTTACAAACATATATTTAAATTAGGTTAGGTTCCCCGGTTAAAGCTAACTTCGTGTCCTAGAGGAAAATAACTACTTACGATTTAACAGCGCTTAGGATCGCCATTTTGCTTACAAGCGCTTCCTAGAGCTTTTTCTGCCAAACGCAGCCAGTGTGTGTAAGGTTAACGATAACATTGTGTGACATTTATGAAAAATACTGGACGACGTCGAGAATCTATTGAGGATCAACAAACTAGGATAAAAAATTAATTAAATTGGTATTTCAAGTTTTTAAGTGGTATCATATATTATATGGGAACGTAGGCAAAATGAGGCTTAAAGTGGGTGGTTATGATTCAATTCCGTCGACTGTACATCGTTAAATAATTATTTAATTAACCGATTTGTTTTTTTTCTGCTCCTCTGATCGTCACGTCGGTAAGATGCTTGTGCTTTGTAATGTCAATTTTAATTTGATAATTACAGTTAATCAGTCACGTACTTATATATCTTTCTATCTTGTTTGGTTCCTTCTTTATAGTAGCATATAGTACAAGTTGTTTTATTTCTTTTTTCACCCAAATGACATTAATGCTCATGAATTACATAATCTGACATTACATTCTGTTTAATTCTTCATTGTAATATTTGGTTTTATTCTTAATGGCGTACATTACACGCTCATGCAGGCGTCAATCAATTCCATCAATCATGATTGATAAAAAACTGATGGTGACTGATAGGTATACATTACACGTTTATGCAGGCTGTCAATTTTCAAAAATCACGGTTGTGATTGAGGAATAACCTACTGTGTAATGCAGTGATTGACGCCTGCGTGAGCGCGTAATGTACGCATATCAGTCACAATCCGTTTTTTATCAATCATGATTGATGTAATTGATTTACGCCTGCGTTACACGATAGGTTATTCGTCAATCACAACCGTGATTGTTGAAAAACTGACAGCCTGCATGAGCGAGTAATGCACGCCTACAGAGAAAAAATCATATTACAAACGGATTTAAATTACGAAATAATATGTTAATAAGTAGTTAAGTAATTCCGATATGCACTAAATAAAACTTTGGGTTTCTATTGTTATTATTCGTAAATATCTTATTCTTAAAAAATCCAAATTATGTACCTACCACAATGTATAAAGTTAATAATGCCTACAATGTAAGGAAGTCGATGGATGCAGGTGACTCGAGACAGTGCTTTGTGGCATTCCTGGGGGGAGGCCCATGTTTAGCAGTGGAATTGTAAAGGGCTGTAATGATGATGATGACGATGAACAATAAAGATTATTATTTATGTTTTGTAATTTTCGTAACGAAAATTCAATTGTTGTGCTATATCGATATTCTTATTTTTGTGAAAAAAAAAACTAAACATTCATGTCATGATTGTTTTAGGCTTTTGATATTTAAGTAGAAAATTAAACTAAAATAACGTCTAAGTCCATTATTATATTATCGTTAATAAAATTCTCGTAAAGTTCATTACTCTCGGCGATAAAAATAGTAAAGTACGAGTAAATCCATTAATATTTAACGTGGGCGTATTGAATACACCTACTCATATTATTTCTCGCTAATAAAATTGTGAAATACATCACATCACGTTATAGTCCACTAAAACGAGCTGTCTGTATGCTCTGCGTCATTAATATCTACATAGTACGTAGTTCATTAAAGACTTCATAAAAAATTCTGTTCATAAACGAACTCGCTAGCGGTACTTAACACGGAAATTTCATGTATGCAAATAACAGATCAAACAATTTAAATAATTAATAATTTATAATGGTTAGTACTCCTCAATTGTTGCTGCATATTGTTGCATGGAAATAAAGTCTGTGATCAATAATGTTTTTAAGAAACTAAAATAAATACGTGTTTACCATGTTTATAATATAAAATACGTATTTTACCCACTATATTGAATAGTTTAGTTGATTTCGTATTTATTGGTTTTGTTTTTTTCCGTTATATTACCTGTTTCCATTTTTATGTTCAATTTTTACCCTTATGTTATATATATCTCATGTTCACAGTCGTCGGGGCGTACCGGGTGGCTATCACTCACAGCGCTCCTGTAGGGAGGGAGGCCAGCGGCCGCAGTCCAACTACTACGAGTACGAGAGCGCGCCGCCCAGGAGACCTGGAAAGCTTTCACACTATCACTGAACTGCAGCACCTCCATGGGACACGAACCTTTGGAACGCGAAAGCACACCGCCAGTTAGTTCTGTAGTTGCAGACCTTTTAATTAGCTAAGTTTGCAGTATTCTCATGCTGGCTAGTATTAAACGCCTGGAATTGATTCGCACTAGTGATGTTTCGTTACAAAACACACACGCCATCGCTATCCATATTACACAAAACCTCCCTGAGTAATTTAATTATATTCAATTCACTTTGAACGTTTCACGCTTAGCGTTATCTTTCCGTCCCGCTGGTGCTGGTACAACCACCTGTTACTGGAAAATCACTGAGTACGTCTAAAGTTAAAGGTTACAATTTTATTTGGATTTGTTGCACCATAAATCATGTTTATCCCAGTTACTTTATATTGTTTTAATTTGTATGTGCTTAGTCAACTTTATAAAGCCGGTGAGGTTTTATTTATGATTTAAAATGAAATTCAAAAAATACATACATATATATATATATATATATATATATATATATATATATATATATATATATATATTGCAATAAATTTGTGATGAATATTCATTGAGCACTCTCCGTCAATTAAAAAGGAACTGATATTTTAAAAAAATAGCTTAAGATTGAGCATTATATATTATTGTTTTTATTTGCTATAACTGTGTGATTATTCAGCTAAGGTAAACGTGTAAACAAAAACGGCGCTGGTTTTATTTAAAAAAAAAAACATATTTGCATTAAACGGTAGAAAAAATAGTGCCACTTAATCGTGCAATCTGCCTTATAAAACGTTTAAGAACTAACAGAATATTTGTTAACCCGACAATTTATTTATATATAAAAACATCTTAACTCTCACCTTCAGCAATGGTGGTATATACTATGTAATGTGGTAATAAAGATGTATTTATCGGAATTATCTTATTCATCTTTTATACTTATGTACGCAGTTTGTAATATTGATAGAGTGGTATAGATGTAAGTTGATATTTTATTTTAACTTTGGCCAGGGCTTGTGGTACTTTCCATAATTAGTGGCGTAGTTATCCATAAGCTTTCGAAGGTTTTATTCAAAATTGGCCTTTACAAAGCTTTTATGATAATCAAAAAAGCTACGTCATCGCTTCAAGAACTACCTACTGGGGAATACACTTGATATTTCTTTTATTTTTGTATAACTTTACCGACGGTATCTGCAAGTAATTTGTACATTAACGTAACAGATATACAGATAATTAATTATGTTTATTTTCACCTAATTGATATACAAGAAAATGGATATTTTAGTCTATGCATGGCACTGCACCTAACAGCATATTCTAAGATGACATGATTTATAGAAACGTTCAGAAACATAAAAACACAATAGAAGTAAATACTATAAGTACATTGGACAAGAATAAGCTAATTATATAATTCGTTTTATAAAACAGTGTAAATTACATGTGAACAAAAAAAGGTTTTCAGTCGGGTAACATTTATACTTGTGAGCTTTTAAAATTTAAACTTTTTTAGATAGTTTATTAGGAATTTTAAATAAAATAAATAATAATAAAAATGTCTAAAAGTATTAAAAGTGGCCGTTTTATGTGTCGTGTCAATCAAGCTTTAGTGCCATTGTTAATGATAAATCACGTTTTCTATTTTTTGAATGCATTATGTAAATATATATTTTGCTCTGTATTTCGAAATTAAGAAGTTATTGCATTCCTACTTAAACTCGTTTTAAGTTCTTAAATCAAAGAAGCTTTAATGTGTAGTTAAGATTTCTTAAATTAAGTTTTTATTTTTATTTTCTAAGTGAAAGAATGTAGGTAGCAATCGTAATTTTATTACAATACATTTATAACATTTATGTTTTGAATCTTTTGATGTTCTAATTCCAATTATGTTAAATAATTAATTTATCAATTGTGATCACAGTATTTTATGTTCTGATGAATATCTTGTTATTCTTAAGTCTTTTCAAGTTAAAAATCTTTTATTTTCGATAATATTACACTATACGTTCAAAAAGTATGGTGATAAGATTCCATAGCTACAAAAATAGCCATAGGGAAATTTTTATTGTAAATATTCGTCTTGTTTGCAAGGATTTAATGTTGTATAGACATTTTAAATTGTGAGTGTGTAGTGATAAACGGATGCGAGTTAATGAAAATAATTTGTATGTGAACACTGAATAGGGATTATTATGAAAGGTATCAAAACACAAATCAGTTTGCACTCGTGTCATCTCTACACTATGTACATTTTAGAACGTACGATATGTCAACGTGTAAGTGAAATTGAAACACTTGTGTATTCGTTACGAACATTCGTCATCGGTACCTTAAATAAATAAAAACATGTCTGAATTCTATTCTTGTTTAATTTATGGCTTGTTTTACCGTCTATCATCGATCAGTTCTCGATATTGCCGGCTGATTGTAAAAAGTACAAAAATAAAGATTAACTCTCATTTACTAAAGTTGTTAAAGGGTTTAATAGGGAATGAGCCAATTTTTTCCTCCAAATATCAACCATTAGTGGCCTCGTGCCCCTGCTAAACAGAAGCCTCTGGTCTCTGGTGACTGGTGACCATCTCATGACCATAAAAACTCCATACAATAACGCTAAACCTAAATTAAATTGGAATTTAGCGTTACAAATATTGATAGTTGTAAACAGTTTTACGAGCGCCCCGTACTGGCAATACTTCCAGTGATTGAATACTATGGAGTGTAGAAGTAAGTATTACCAACTCCAATAGTAGAATAGTTGAAAAAGTGGCCATCTGTAAGCAGTAAATAACAGTTCAAAACTCTCCACAACAGCGCTGAAGTAGCTACTGGGATGAAATGAACTTAGCAGTTTCGACGGTTTGAAGTGTGCTGGTAAACTGCTCAGTAGCTCTAAAATCTAAAATAACCACCCTTATTTAACGGTTTTCTATGGACACTTTTTAATACAGTCTGTACTCCTCACTTCTACACTCCATATTGAATACTTTTACTGTCAGTCAATTTTTTATGACAATACGGTCTTTTTACATACTAACCTTTTTCAATAAGTAGTCTTTTCGTATCTTTACCGATGGCTATTAAAAAATTAAACATAAACTCTTCGCTACACCATCTCTTAGCGCTGACTTCAGAAGCTACTATGAGTAAGTTTTTTATTTTTTCAAGTTTTTGAAATTTGTTTTTAATTATTTTAAAGTTTTTTTTACCCTTTTGTGTAAACTAAGGAACATTTGTTTATTAATATTTGCATTCCTTAATAAAAATGAAATACAAAAGGCGGACTTAATGCCTTGAGGCATTCCCGACCAGTCAACCCATGGAGTGGTGGGAATTTGACGTAGTAATATAGAATAAATACAAAATTAAATGATTTAACTACGTAATACACTTAATATTTGAAATTAAAAAAAATAGAAATATCTCCCATTTATACATATAAGTGTACAAATATATACATAAAGTAAAGTTACAGCCTATATACGTCCCACTGAACCTAACCCGAAAGGTCCACACGTCTAACTTTCCAGTGGAAAGAATAAAAAATATCATATGTTTAAATATTTTATACAATTTGTCATTCGGCACAATAAACGACTTGACCGATTTTGCTCAAAATTTAATGAGGTCTAAGTTACATAATTATGCGTTAAATGCAACTATATGTCAATACTCGTATCACTCTCTGTTCTCGAGATACACAAGGCAAAAATTGAAAACTGAACATCCTCTTAAAAACCATACTATTCGCCTCTAAAGACCTTGGAACGTGGAGATATTTTAAAATTTCCAATTCGCAAAATCGGACCCATTACAATACCTTCCCACTGGGAAGTTAATAAGAAGGCGAAAATGGGTATTTAATATGGAAAAAAGAACCAGCAATATTCTGGAACTAACTGTTATCCGCGGCTTCGCCCGCATTGTCACTGGGAAATGAACTATCCATTGATTTTTTAATTGAAAGAAAACTGAGTTTTATAGATTTGTCAGAGATGCAGCCTTTAAAACGAAACTGAGCAAAATTGATTCGTCAGCCTATTTAAATGTTTTGAAACGCAGCGTATAGGAAAGCATGAAAATAGCCTGTTTATTCCAAATTGAAATGGGATATTTTTTTAATTAAAGGAAACTGAGCATAATTATCCGTCAGGGATGCAGACTTTCGAAAAGAAACTGAGCTAAATTGATTCGTCAGAGATGCAGTTTTCTGAATTGAAAGGAAACTGAGCCAAATAAAAGATCCGTCAGAGATGCAGTTTTCTGAATTGAAAGGAAACTGAGCCAAATAAAAGATCCGTCAGAGATGCAGCATTTGGAATTGAAAAGAAACTGAGCTTAATAAGAAATTTTGAATTGAAAGGGAAGATCTGTGGGAATTCAGATTAATTGATTGTGGGAATTTTGGAAAAAAAAACTAACTGAACACGCTACTTTTAAGACGCTACTGTACACGATGTTATATGTTTTTACATTCGACGAAAGAATGTGGAGATTCTGGGCATTTGACACACGCGAACATGCTACATACAGCTGACCATGAGAGAAGCACGGTTTTTCTAAGTTGACCCGCGCTACTTGTAGCTTAACAGGGAACTGCAACCTTTTGAATTGAAAAGGAAGATCTGTGGGAATTATAGGGATCCGTGGTATAATAACATTTTCACCTTTTCCTACGCCTGTCAAAATTGTAGCACCGATTATGTTCCGTCCAAGATGTGTCACACGCAGCCTTGTCCCGTTACATAACCGAGGAGCATCTAAATTTCGCATTAGAATGACTGGGACGCCTAATTTTAATTGAAGCTTATGTGAGGGCACACCTGACAACCCTAGAGAACTTAGAAACTCTACGGGATAGGAAGTGCTCTGTTCTGTGTCCATAACTGTGTCTACTGACAAATACTCTGTTATTTCTCTTGCTACTTCGTTTAATATATCTGAATTTATTTTGTTAACGCTCTCATTTTTTGGTGCAAGAATCGCCCTTTCACATAACCATTTGTCTTCATGC